CGTTTTTAGGATATGAAGTTGTGGATCGTTAACAAAGACAAACTAATATTGCCGTTAAATAACACATAAATAAATAAACATGTAAACAAATTAACAATAAAAAGAAGAAGTGAATTGTAGACTGTGCTTACTGAGAATTCCCAGATTGGGTCCAATCGAGACCGCAATCATTCGTGAGATCAGCCGGTATAATGCGTATGCGTTCTGTAGCCGTAACGCGGTAGGCCGTACCTAAATGAAATTGTGTAATTTCGCCTGAAAATGAGTTCATTGAGTCCAAAGAGACTTACAGAAATCGCTATGCGATTTTCCTCCAGCTTGTAGCACATATAATTGTAAAGTTCAAAAAATGCAGGAATGTTCAACAAGACGGCTCCAATCGAAAGCGCTATAGGCATTCGAAGAAGACGTCGATACGTCGAGCAGTACATGAATGATATCCGTCGTTCACTACGGAACGACTGCACCAGTGCTGCTGACCTAAACGAAGTATTGAGTGGGGTCATATTCGTAGCCATGGCTGACTCAACATGGTAGACGGGAGCATTAGGGTGCAGTAACGCTCAAGTAATGTGAAAATGGTGAGATTATCTGCGTCTACCTCTTAAGGGGCTGAGTGCAACAAGGCCCAACTCGGGGACAGGGTCAACGTCACGTTGGACCGATTTCGAAAATTTTACGACCCCCTCCCCTTCTAGAGGGCCTCGATACGACCCCCCCCCTCAGGGTCAACCCTTCACCACCCTCGCCTGCCATCGCCATCATGGGGCTCATTCTATAGTATTCGATTCTGAGACCAGTCGACACAGCCAAACTCCGCCCACTTTTTTAGAATACTACCACTTTCCCTCTACTTTACCAACATTACGGCAAAATTTTAGCGCGCCAACCAACTGCATAATCACTTCCCGCGTCCGGAGATGCATAGCTTTGGGTCCACCCCGAGTTGGGCCTTGCTGCACCCGGCGCCAGGATGCGCCACGCATTCTATTTCAAGCACAAATGAATGCGTTTCTAGACTAGGGAACTAAGGTTGAAGAAGTTTGCAGAGCAAGTAGCTCTTCGAGCTTTGTGACAGTAGGCAAAGCTCTCAATCTTTACAACGCCTCGACCGTACTTTCTGAGAGCAGTTCCAACTTATGCCAACATTACATATAACTCTTATTATCACTCCACCCTGATTAGTGATTACTACAAGTACAAATTTGATGGGTATAAATTTCCAGTGAAATTTATAAAACATATCACTAATCAATCGTTTGACGGAAATCACCCCCTGTTTTAGAATGCGCCTCCTAAGACGACCTATGAAGGGTCATTAAATTTTTTGTCGGCACTTTTATCGTCCAATCGTGCCTGCATCAAGCGATTTGTTGGGATCACCTCAGCCTAAGCCTGAGCAGGTGAAGCTCTAGTTCGTGGGGAGGGGGGTGGGTGGGGCACCCTATTGTGCTCTCAAACACTGAGGGAGTACAAGAGTTCTCATGACACGTAATCGATTCATT